GAAGATCAGGATAAACTGTACCTACTCTGGCATTCACTCGAGCCTTAACCACCAGCTACATTGTACGCGGTGCTGAAAGGTGTCCATCGCGGCACATAATGAGCTTCCGGCAGAAGGGCAAGCAGCCATGAATGTAGTAAATGGGAGCAAATCACTCTGTATTTACAACCAGTTTACGGCGGTTGGAACAGCTCTCTGTTCGTCTAAAGTGGTGCTTTCAGGCAACTTTCTGGCCCCGAGGAATTTAAATGTAATGGAACACATAGGCGGCGGAACGATTTGAGACAAGGGGGGGCACCATGGCTCAAGGAGCCAAACCTAGGGTACCCCCAAATCCTGTTTTCTCATCGGATTTAGGCCACTTATTTTTCGTCACAGCCCTGACACGATGATTTTTATATATTTTTTTTTTTACTAAACGAAAATGACAGTTCACCCCCCGTATGCAGGGGTGTAATTTTATATCTCTTTGTGGGGGCATATGCACCCACAATCCTGAATTATGCCCCCCCCCCCCCCCACAATGATGAAAATGCACCCACAAGTCTTTTACAAGGCTGCAAGCGTCCTTTCGAGAGCACGGTGCCCTTCGCATGCTCTAACGGCGTCCTGACCGTCTCGCGTTCATGGATAATATAGCGTTTTTAATCACTCGGCGCCCTTCTGGGAGAATGGCGCACTTTTGACAGCACCGCGCCATTCTCATGGTCTAACGGCGCCCTCCTGACCGTCTCGCGTCCTTAGGTCTCTGTTCACCGTGGATCCCTCGACTGTTCGGCGCCCTTCTGGCCTCTCAGCGCCCCTGAACCACATATAACGTTTTCAATCACTCGGCACCCTTTTACGAGAATGGCGCCCTTATCATGATCTCAAGGCGCCCTCGTAACCATCTGGCGCCCCCACGTCCTAACCTAACCTAACCTAACCTAACCCACCCACGTAGCACTACTGACTGTGCGGCGCCCTTCTGGCCTCTTAGCGCTCCTGGACCACATAGCGTTTTCAATCACTCGGCGCCCTCCTAAGAGAATGGCGCCCTTTTCATCGTCTCACGGCGCCCTCGTAAGTCGTAACCGTCTGGTGCCTCCACATTTGGTGCCCCTCCTACTGGATGGCGCCTCTCTACATATTTTTTACGTCCTTCCGGTCAGTTTCCACTTTTAAAGGGACACTCCCACCTTAACATTAGTTTTGAGTTGAGATAGCCAAATTGGTGGCCATGGCCTGCAAATACCGGTTTGGGCACTCACAACATCGAAAAATGCTTTAATTCGAAGATATGGAATTTCAAACTTGCAGTTTTCGGATTCTAAGGGGCTAATGCATTGGAATGCCCCTTTAGAATTTATGACGTCAGCGGAGATCTAACGATTTTTAAATCTTAGACTAAAACCATCGTTAACACGTGGTGGTATACGCTGCTTTGCGCGCAACGTCTGCCGCACTTTAAGGCTGCCAAATTATTGCTTCCAAATAAAGTCGCTAGTAACAGGGGAGATCCCAAAAAGTAAACAAAAGTAAAAGCCTAATATCTTGAAAACCAGTGAATATTTTTCGGTGAAATTTGGTAGATATTCGTTTTCGCTCTTTCTGAACCAAGGGACATCACTTTCTTTTTTTTTTTCTTCTTCTTTTTTTTTTTTATATAAATTTAGTCCGAACCTTTTGATGGGAAGGATTCACAGGGACAGAGCCACCGCTAAGCGAAGCTTGTTGCGGTGACCCTGCCCTCTACCCTCCGATCGCGCAATTCCAGTTCTATGGCAGAATTTAGAGTTCAAAGTTTAACGTGCGCACATAGCCGCGCACGGCCGGTCCCCTCACTGACTTCACCTGGCTACGGCCTGCCACCAACCGCAACCATACCTGTCAGGACTGAGGCCCATAAATGTCAAGCGCCCGTCGCGCTTCGAACCCGGACTGTTGTAACCGGGAACGCGTGCTCTCACCACGCGGAGTCCAACGCTCTACCAACTGAGCTACGGGACCGGCAAAATGCCCCTTTCCCTGCCAATTCATTAACTTTTTTGAAGGTGGGAGGGTCCCTTTAAGCATGTATTTGCTTAGTCAGACACGTCACTTGAAGCGCCCTTCGGCTAGCAATGTTATCAAATTCGGTGTTAATTTAGGCTCCCACATAAAGAATACCTATATATCGCGCCCCAAAACGGCCTGGCGCCGGGCGCCCCTACAGCTGGGCACCCACAATCATTTTAGGAAATTACACCCCTGCCCGTATGTGTGATTAACTTTAAGCTGATCCTCAAGTACCTATGTGTTTGTCTCTTCCTTATTGTCGTTTGATAAATTCCATTTATCCTACATGTATAATTCCCAACTCCAAGAAGCCATCGCAGTACTAATCAGTGGCGAATCCCAGGGTGGAGGTCACATGGGTCATGACTTAGGGCCTGGGGTCACCACATGCCTGCCAGGAGCACCACAGGCCTGACAGCAGCCGACAGGGGCACCACAGGCCCGCCAGGGGTGCCAAAGGCCTAGCAGGGGCACCACGGGCCTGTCAGTGGCGCCACAGGCCTGTCAGGAGCACCACCGGCCTAGCAAAAGCACTACAGGTCTTCCAGGGGCACCACAGACCTGCCAGGGGCACCAGAGGCCTGCCAGGGGCACTATCGGCTTCGCAAGGGAACCACCGGCCTCGCAAGGGCACCATGGGCCTGTCAAGGGCACCACAAGCCTGTCGTTGGCAATTTAGAATTGTCAAAGGCACCACAAACCTGTCAAGGGCACCTGCGTTCTAACAGGGGCACCACAAACCTGCCAAGACTCAGGGACACCACAGGCCTAGCAAGGACACCACAGGCCTGTCAGGGGCACCACGGGCCTGTCAGGGCCCATGAGCACCTAAGTCATGTCAGGGCCCACCGTAGGCTTGTCAGGGGGCAGGGTAGGTAGGTACCACAGTCTTTCCAGGGGCACCAGCGGCCTAGCAGGGGCACCGGTCATCACATGACTAACCAAAAATAAAGAAAATAAAAAAAAAACTGAAAATAGGGCACCACCAAAATTAAGTGGCCGAAATCCGTTGAGGTTTTAATTTTGGGCATAGGTAGGGGGACCACTTCGATTCATGACCCTCCCCTTGGAGTTTTCCCGAATCCGCCCCTGGTACTAATACATCAAATTTAAGGGGGGGCACCTTGCTATTGGTGCCCCCCTCGCAGAATTCAAGGGGGGGCACGGTGCCCCGGTGCCCCCCCCCCCGTTCCGCCGCCTATGATGGAACACTTGGAGCCTCGCAATCCGATAATTACCCTCGCTTTTCGCTGCAACACCTGTGCTCGGAATAGCTAGACGACCAAATTACCGTAAAAGCGACCTACAAAGCGACAAGACGGGATAATCATTGATCAAACACGAGAAAACAGCAAGGATCAAAGCCACTGAGTATTTAAAAATACGCCAGCGCCGCATACCCACGTATAAATAAATGAATGTATGCGCATACTGAGAACTCAGCAACAGTGACGAATGCAGTGGCGCACCGCCGCACATTTAACGCAATAGAATAGACGACAGTCGGGAAATTCGGGCTAGAGATGCTAACAAATGCGCTATCCACCATGAAGTCTCTTACAATGCCCGGGTCGGAACTAGCCCATGGGCTCCGCTAACGGGGTTGGGGAAAACGTTCTTCAAATTGTTTTTCATATTAAATTTGGTATGTCACTGACCTCTAATGGAACCAATGTAATTAAAACGACCCCTGTCCTGTCTGGCGTTCAATCCGTGGCGGAACGTTTGCCCAAATCGTGACACGTATATCTGGTTGGCCCTTACATAACGCTTCAGGAAAGCGTTGTATGATGCAGCGCAGTGAAACCGAACCTGTCATTGTCCTCAGTGGCGCATCCAGTCCCACAGTTAGGGGGAAATCATAACCGATACCTGTTGACCTGACCCGCAGCAAAGTTCTTTAGCAAAGACGGAAAGACGGTAGTTAGTAAAGACGGTAGAAGAAAGACGGTAGTTAGCCGTTATTTGTTGACCAACAGCAAAAGTTGTAATGCGGGTCAGGCTTTTGACCTTTGGGGATAAATAAATAACCCGAGATGTTCCACCTGGATCCGCCCGTGATACCGGCATAGAGCAAGACGACCGCCACATGCCTATGACACGGCACCGGGCAGGCCGGAAGTTGGGCAATAGCATCAGACTTCGTCTCTGACGGCAATGGGCTGCTCGGCTCCCCAGAGAGGCTGGCATTTTCATGCAGGAACAATTTAAATGCATGACGTTTACCCGTATATATTGTACATTTTAAGTTACCTACTTTTCTTGTTAACTACCTAGCAAAATGTGATGTCTTGTTTCGTTTTCCGTTAAAGAGGCACTAAAACAAAACTCATTAAATCGCCCAATAGAAGCCTAAGCTTTTGCGCACGTCCATCATCATGATTCATGGTGCTGAAATTTAGGCACTGGTAGGCATCTTAAAAAAAAGATTGCATAATAACGAGGTTGAATTTACAGATGTAAGAAATGGCCATGTGATGAATCATGGAGCGAGCTGCACTAACTTTCACTTTTCTCTCACTCGTCATCACTATGTCTTTGATAGTCATTAAGCTGACAGTAAATCGTATTCCAGCCTCCAGGCATCTATCCGAGCATCTAACTACTCCGCAGTCGAGCTGCGGCCCGTGGGATTCACATCAGTCTCGCTCAGAGCATCCCTCCGGAGCCAATTCGACTGCGACGCAGTAGCCCAGTTACAATAAATATGCAACGAAATTGCTTCTAATGCCGCTCACACTTCCTAGAACATCACGCCAAAGCCGATGTTTGATCTTCAAACTTTTGGGCTGAATAATGACACCAGCTGAATTATAATTTATGGTATCAAATTATCTTGGTTTACACATGGGAAGCAATTATCCGGCCACGGCAATCAAGCGTCAACCTATACGGCCCTATATCACACCCATATCGCAGCCCTACCCGCCTACGTCACTGGGGGTGCCTGTGACGTCACTCACCGGCAGAACTGGCAGCTCTTGCGCGTGCTGATGGTGATGTGGCAGCAGCCGTCGTAAGAGCAGCGGAAGTGGTTGCACGCCTCGCTTTGAACACTCCGGCGGAAGAACGCTTTGCAGGAGTCACACGCCATGCCGCCAAAATGGTGGCTTTTGGCGCGCTCGCCGCATACGCCGCAGACTTTTTGGGCCGGTTTGGCCAAGGGTTTGGCGGGCGTGGTTGACGATTTGGTGGCGGTGGAGGCTGCGCCCTCGGCCCCTGCTGCTGCTTTGGACGCCGTCTTGGCGGCGGCGCCGCCCTCTGTGGAGCGAAGAGGGAGGAGGGTCAGTGGGGTAGATGGGGGCATTGAGCGAGACTGACGAAATAAGTGTGATACAAATTATTTTGCATACAACATCCACACACATTGTGTCCTTTCAGTTGTCAGCATGATGTGAAGAGTAATTGATCGGCAAAGAAAGCAATCTACAGTATAAATATCTGTAGTACACTTAAATTAAAAAAAAACTAGATCGTCTTATAAGAACCAAGCGGCAATCAATAAAATAATGCAGACGAACTGGTTGAACTGGAATGTAGACATGCTCCATGAGTATGATTGTCATGAGCATAAATGACATGTCTCGCATGGAAACCTATGTTGAAGGCGTAGTTTTCTGGAGCCGACGTTGGAATGTCTAATCGCCTTCTCTCTCCGAGAAGGAGTTGCGGAAAGCACGTGTAAGTGGCACGTGTTCTCAAGCGTGAGCAATGAGCACGTGTAATTGACACGTAGTCGTCCTGCCGATAGGCGGGTATGCGTTTACATAATGACTGACCATGATGCCGGCAAGGAGATGGGTACTGGTAGTGTGCTCTCTCTCTCTCTCTCTCTCTCTCTCTCTCTCTCTCTCTCTCTCTCTCTCTCTCCCTCTCTCCCTCCCTCCCTCTCTCCCTCTTCCTCCTTCCACTCCCACTCTCTCAAACTTCCTGCGCTCTCAGCGATCCCGGAGGTCGTTCTCTCAGCTCAACATTACCCTGCAGCCGGAATAAGAGTATTGCGTCAGCAACCTCCTCCGCAGTAGCTACCGCACATGGAAGGGCCTGAGCGACCCGGAGATAGGAGAACATACTATCCACGAGAATATGTATATTGGCAACGAGTACTGCGTAGATTCTGTGGTTTGACCCAGTCGGTTACGAGGATGAGACAAAGGCGCCGCACAAAAGGAAGTTTAGACGGAGAGTATGTAGATGATAATTCATGCAGCTGCGTTTAGGAAGTTGCGAAACTATGGCAGAACTGGGTCAGACGATTCGGGTTTCTAGTTCAGGAAGTCAAGTCGATACGGAACACGAATTGGTACAGAGCTTCATGAGATTATAATATTTAGTCGGAAGTCACGCTAAAAATATCAAACCCGATACCTTGCGACCAATTGTCAGATAAAATATATCCCGTCCGGCACTGTTGCTGGTTATATTTCGCCGTTGACTAAAGCTTCATGGAAAGGCTAATTTTCACCTTCTCTTCACCTCGTTCATTCGCACAACCTTATGATAATCGATCTAGTTTTGCCGACTGACAAAAGTCGCGGTACATTTCCTACCGGACACGTGGAGGCCTTATTCCCGCTGTGTGGGTCCATTTCTCATGATCAAAGTCAACGAGTCCAGTTAACATGAGATTTGAGCCACGCAACCAGCTAAATTCCCTGCTACCGGAGATTTATCACTGGATCAGCCGTAATAAGCTGTATGCGAGGAGTCAAAATTGGGAACAGTGCCAACACATTTAATATTTTTCGCTTGAAAATTTTTGTTGATGCATGTCTGTTAACATGCTAAGTGCAATGTCTGAACTCTGAAGGTATGAGGATCACTGACTAATGAAAAATGACGATGACCATTGACTAACGCATCAGGCGTTCAGTCTGTTCGGCCCCGCCGACAACTGCCTACCTGGGTAACACTGACCGAAGCTGGGCAATGGGCACCGTGCATTGTGCAGACTGCACTGTGCATGCATATTGCAGTGTGCACTGTGCTGTGTACCGGGTGCACCAGAGTTCGACACTCAACCACATGACATTTTCGCAGAATGCGAAATAAAATCACTTAAAATGATATTGAAATGTGTAAATGTATGCCTCAACAAAGCCATTGAGTTGCAATAACACAGCAATTGATCTTCATGCTCTTGAACTACCAACCGACAGAAACCGAAAAAACGCCAACAATCGCATCACCCATATCACCAACATCTACCGCAAATATTTCGAAGGCTGCTTGCCAGGAATGGGTTAAAATGACTGGCAAGTGGCACCATGGGCTGCATCGAATTCAACGGCTCTGCCACATGATCACAAATCGCTGTCAATTTCACAACATCGCTCTCTGCTGGAGGCTTATCGGCAAATTTGTACTTGCGCGCAAGGACTTTCCGCTTGATCAAGTGTTCAATGGTTTGTACAACAGATCTTCCATATAGAATCTATCATATAATAGGCTAGTCGATTTGAACCTAATCTGTTATATAAAATATTGTAGGTAGATATGAGGCTGGCCTGTTAATATTACAAAAACATGTATTTGTGACTGAAAATATATTATGCGTTATATAATCATGAACCGTTCTTAAGCATAAACTATATTTCATCCTGGTCTGTTCTTTAATTTGCATAACACAGAGATCCGCATGCATTCACGCCAGAAATATGTCACAAAATTGCGCATTTACAAATGAGCCTTTGACAAAGCCAGCTGAGGCTGCTGGATGATTAAGAGCGACACTAATGGGTGGGCCACTCAGAGCCAATTAAAAATGTTTGAGCGGTGCCGTCTAAGCAGCTTTGGAGCTCAGTTCAAATGAAAATTATTTCACCGTGCACTCTGACAGACTAGTCGGTACAACAAGAACCCTTAATGCGCTAAGCCAGCAATCATTGTATGGCCCTTTTTAATGGCTGGGCAGCTGCGTGGATGTCGTCAGCCGTTTAACAGTTAGTGACAGCCGCAGCAAAAACAGACATATTCCGAACTATATAATGCATATTGTAAAAGGTATCGTAAACACTTGCTATTCTAAAACAAAATAGCCAACTTTGCTAAAGATAGGCACCTATATCAAAGCTAAATAATCAACCGCATTAATTATTATTTCTTAGATAATATATCTTGCTTAGAATCACAACAATAACTGCAACAGCATTAGGTTCTTAAGGAGTTATCGATTCTCAGATGCACCTAATCATTTCTTAGAAAGACATTGTCTTCATTTTTTAATTTATCCCTTTTCCTATTCCTCAGCTGTCCTGGTCCGATAGGATTATTGTAATATGTGAGATGGTGGTTTTTGCCATGATGAATAGATATAAATATGTGAAAATGATCAATAACATGGCAGAAATGTAAAACTTTTATTGTAAAATAGGCCAAATATGAGAATGAGCTTTCGCTTTACAGCATCATCAGATTCATTGTTTTATGACATTTAAAAATTCTAGCTACACACAAAGTCTATCACGCGCTCAATGTTAGGTGGGAATATCACAATGCAGATACATACATTCTTGACACGGACAATTTCGAACATAAATCTTATAGCACATATGTAGAAGTGTACAAAGACAAACAAATAGGTTAAAGAATCGAGAGGCACGAAAGATATCGTTCACATCTAGATATCTGATAGGTAGAAGAGTGCTGGGCTGACAAGGCTATCACAGGGCTAGCCAGCAACGAATACGAGACTCCATTCTAGGTACCCTCATGCGTCCGAAAGAATGTGCTTAGCATTACAATTGAGTACCTTTGAGTGTGTTAAGTGTGTGTGTGTGTGTGTGTGCGGGTGTGTGTGTAAAGGAGAGGGTTGTAACTTGTAAGGGTAGAGGGTGATGAAAAGTGTGGTCCTGATGTTTGTGTGTTGTGCGTGGCGTGGCGAATGAAATGAACTATCTAGTCAGTGGCCAAGAGCTTTGCATGGTGTTCAAACTAGGTTTAAGATTGCGTATGTGAAGTGATTCTTTAATTTTGATGTCAGCACAGTCCTTACCTCTATCCAGTATCTCAATTCTAAACGCATTGTTGAGATCCTCGTTGGGAAGCTGAGAGTGAGCATGTAGCGTGTGTTCCCCTAATGGTGTGTCTAGTTTACGCAAACGTGCATCGCTCAGGTGCTCGTTAAATCGGTACCGGACTGGTCTGGTGCATTCTCCTATATAGGTTTCGTCGTGTTGGGTAGTTTCGCACAGCTTACAGACTATCCTGTACACTACGCTTTTTGTGGTGCACTTCCCCGGTAGTCCATTTTCACAAGTATGGCACTTTTTGTTGCCGGATGGGCAGGGTGGTCTGGTAAGGGCCGAGGAGATCAGTTTTGTTTGAATCGAGTTGTCATTAATCCAAATGGGCTTGACAGGAATTTTGGAGCCGCGGATAATGCCGTTTACTCGGCGTACGATCGTCTCATTGATGTTAGGTAAACGCATGTAGATCTGGTTTTCGTTGGCCAAAGTACGTGTTTTCTTGGTTCCTTTGCTGTACTTTTGTTTCCTAATTGAATGTTTGATAAGGCTCATAGGATATCCATTTTTGCTGAACAATTGTGAAATGATCTCGATACTCCGTTCTGTAGCGGGTTTGTCTGAAGAGACTCGAATAGCCCTTTGAATTTCTGCGTTGAGTACCGCTTTCTTTGTCGACACATGGGATGAGCAGAGGTGTAGTGTAGGATGATCGGTGCAGCCATCGGTTTGAAATACAGTTCGGTGGTGTAGGTACCTGAAGGGTGTACGGTGATCATAGTGTCTAGGAACGATAGTGTACCTGTCAGTCCTGTGTGATCCATTGTGAAACGAATAGCCGGGTTGTGGGTGTTCATCAGGTTGAAGAAATGGTTGAGGCGGTCGATACCATAAGTCCAGACTCCTAATATGTCGTCAATATAGCGCACATAAAATGCGGGGACTTGTGTCATAGAAGATAGAAATGTGCTTTCAAAAACATGCATAAACGCTATAGCTACTGGTGGGGCTATCCTATTGCCCATAGCGATGCCGGTGGTCTGTTTGAAAAGTTTTGAGTTGAATGAATGAATGAATCTGATGATGCTGTAAAGCGAAAGCTCATTCTCATATTTGGCCTATTTTACAATAAAAGTTTTACATTTCTGCCATGTTATTGATCATTTTCACATATTTATAGGATTATTGTAAGGCATGTCACCTTTTACTGAAATCTATAAAATAATTGAGTGGTGTTAACTTTATATTTCGCTTGGTAACATCTCATTATCAACTATCAAGACACGCCCGCTGGGC